CACCATCAAGGTTTGGGGCTCAAAAGCCTAATTCTCTGAGCTCTTGGACCCCACCCAAAAGCCCTAAATCACCGCCTCGCCGATTCAAAACACAAGCTCAACAGAACAAGAAAAGGCAACGAACACAAACACATCCTAAACATTCCAAGGCTTTAACCCTAAACCCTAAACCCCAACTACACTCCAACCTCAAACCGAGGTCTCAGCAAACGGGCAAAGGCATGGGACTGCGCTTCGTCTGTCACTCAGACTTACGCCGCCGGATAGTTTCGAGCGTAGGATTCTCGGTTCAGGGTTTCGGGTTCAGGGTTGAGGATGTAGGGATTAGAGCCTTAGAGTTTACAGTTGCGTTTAAGTTGCAACGGCCGCGGGGGATTACGTTTCAAGAGTACAATTTATAGGGTTTCTACTTGAACATGTTTCAAGATTTGGGTCCTTGTGTGGTTGGAGATTTACAGCTACACCCCAAACCCTACATACTCCGCGCCCTAAACCTGAAAGAAATGAGATCACTCGATGGCGGGTACATGGCGACCTAACTCAGCCATTGGTCGTCCTTCCCATCCCAGCTCAAACCCTCATGCACTACGACGTCAAGGTGAATGAGAGCGGTGTACTTCCTCAGCACACGCATTGGCTTCGAAGAAGTCAAGGAAGTATGGTTCCTGGTTCCAAATGAGCGGGAATACAGAGAGTTCGCTCGAGTTGAGAAGATTATGGACCCTGAGCTTGAAGACGATCAACTACAACTAAACCCTAAAACCTAAACCCTAAACCCACCGTTTCTACCTCAACACCAACATCGGTGGAATCTTCAAAAGATGTTGGAACTCCTCTCCGAAATAGCCGGTGGACCTTGCGATGCTCAGCGTCAGAAGCACATGGAGGAGATGACCACAATTTCTCACCGATCTGCTGAAGATGCTCGAAGGGAGGCAGGATGGCTCAAGTGCCTTGAACGGCTCCTTGTTCCTTTCAGGTTTATGTTGTGTTTATTTGTTCAGCTGAAGACTTCAACAGCGATGCGAGCCAAATCAAGCACCCGGCCCGCATTGCCTATGGGAGATGTTTAAACTGCTTGGCCTTTAAATGCCTTCAACTTTTGGTTTATCTTGGGAAGTTTGAACTTTTTGCCCGGTTGTTGAAGAGATAATATAGGTGTCGGAATAATTACTAACATTACTCTCTTATAGTCCGCACTATAACATGACTATAAACCTTATTCTAAGTACTGTAATCAGGCCCCTGTATTCAATCCCAGAGCCGGCCTCCGTAGACACCTAAACCCCCCAAACCCTGGAACAATAAAAACCCACCCCCACCCAAGCCCCTAAACCATCTTACGCCCATAAGGGTGTGCCGTGAGGGTTTGGGATGTAGGCTTCAAGGGTCCATGTACCTGTTTGAGGTACCCTGAACTACCACAACCTACTCGTTTGGAGATTCTTACTAGAAGCTCTAATATAGAATTTCGGTACCCTGCAGGGAGGTAGGTTTTGGTAGTGGAATACTTGCAGGTTCATGCCCTACACTTTTTTTGGTGGGGGGGGGGGGTACATTGTTTTATGGTTAGGATCAGTTATGTAGAAAAGTAGGTACCCAAAAAACGGGTCGTAGGGTATGAAAAGTCTCTCAACCCTAAACCCTAAATCCTAGATATGGGTAGTTCTCTAAATTAGAACCCCTTTTTAGGTCCCCAATATAGTGCGGCACCCTTATAAAAAGGGCCCCAAACGGGACCCTAATTTAGAGAACTACCCATATGGGGATAGGTACCTGAATGGCATGTTATGTTGATCTCCAGGAAGCCGAGGGCTTCCAAGTAGTGGAGAATGGGGCCGGGTGGGGGTCCAAAGGAGCGAATAATAGGGACCTTATCTAGATAGAATAGGGTTTTGGGGGGTTTCTTTAAAGGGCTCCTTACAGGGTTCTATACGGGCTACAATAAGGGTTTAGGGTTTTGGGACCTTATATAGTTAGAATAGGGTTTTGGGGGGTTTCTTTAAAGGGCTCCTTACAGGGTTCTATAAGGGCTACTATAAGGGTTTAGGGTTTTGGGACCTTATATAGTTAGAATAGGGTTTGGGGGGTTTCTTTAAAGGGCTCCTTACAGGGTTCTATAAGGGTTACTATAAGGGTTTAGGGTCTTGGGACCTTAATAGTTAGAACAGGGTTTTGGGGGTTCATTGTTATGAATATGGTATAGTACCCCTCAAACCCCATTCTAATGATGAAGGCCCCTACGTTAAGGGGGTTTAGGGTTTACGATAGTTGGATGCCAGCCATGAAGTGATTCGTATGTTGGGGAGAGTGTGGTTAGTAGGCTCCAGGAGACGGGAACCCTGAACCCTAAACCCTAAACCCTAAACCCTAAATGCTTTGCGCCCTCAGGTGGTATCCGTGAGGCCGAAAGGGAACCGCCGGAAATCTGAGGTTGACCACGTTAAGGGGGACACTTCAAGGGGACAGCTACCCTAAACTTTAGGGTTTAGGGGGTTTGGGGACTGGGGATTCGGGGTTTAGGGTTTAGGGGTTTAGGGGACAGCTACCCCCCAAACCCTAAACCCTGGAAACCGCTAGTCGCAGATGGTCAGCTAAAGAGTAGGGACATCTTCGAAGTTCTGGGACTAAAGGGGAGAGAGCTTAGGGTTGAGTCACGGTCAGCTTTCGTCTGAGGCTCAGGAGGGTTTCAGGGTTTAGGGGCTATCAGGGTTTAGGGTTTAGGAGGGTTTAGCGGGGAGTTAGTCCGGCTTGGGTTTAGTTTGTAGGATGTAGGTTGGCTGTTAGGGTGCAGGGCGCAGTTTGGACATGTAGTAGCATGGTTTCTCTAGACTTTCCCTAAACCCTATAACCCCTAAACTTTATAAACCCCTAAACCCCTAAACCCCTAAACCCTAAACCCTAAACCCTAAACCCTAAACCCCTAAACCCTAAACCCTATATAGGGAGGGTAGAGAAGCTTGCAGGTCGGCGGGTGATGTGGGAACCTGATTCCGAGGCCCTGGTCCTATAACCCCAACAGTGTAGGATCCATAACCCCGAAATAGGTAGGATCCATAAATCCTATAACCCCGAAAAATAATAATAGTAGGATCCATAAGTCCTATAACCCCATCATCGTAGGATCCATAGACAAAAACCCCAGTAAAGACCAGAGGTTTCTGAATCAGGTTCCATAGGGGCCGTAATAATTAGCTATACTATTTGGGGGTTCCTTCTTATAGTTATAGTAGCATATATCCCCCCCACACACACACACACACAAAAACGAAACTATTCTAGTTATTATGCCCCTACAGTAGGCAACCTTCAACTTTTTTGGGGTTCATAGAACCTGCCAGATTTACAAAGGTCAGCCTTGGGCCGGGGGAATTGATCAACTTTTGTCGAGGTGGCTTTTGGTTTAATGTTTTGAGGGTTTAGGGTTCAGGGTTCAGGGTGTAGGGCTTTGGGTTTGGGGTTTTAGTGCTTAGGCTTTAGGGTTCAGGTGTAGGGTGTAGGGCTTGGAGTTTGGGGTGTTAGTGTCTAGGTTTTAGGGTTTAGGGTTCAAGGTTTAGGGTTCAGGGTGTAGGGCGTAGGGTTTTGGGTTTTAGTCTTTAGGTTTTAGTGTTTCGGGTTCAGGGTGTAGGGTTAAGGGTGGGGGTGGCGACGCTTCATTCCCAACATACAGATATCTTCGCCATGCTTCCCGAAGATCCCATGGCTCCTCGTTGAGACATGTTAGTCCGCCTAAAATATTTGCGGCCTCTTCTTGTTTTGGTCTAAACAAGGTTCTGTCCCTAGGCGTGTAGGGCTGGAAAGGCTCACAGTAGCCTGAAATACCTCACGTCGTATGGTGTTGGAAGCCCAGATGCTTCATCATGGGTTTGGGTTTGGGTTCGGGCCCGAAACCTTGTAGATCTCGAAAACCTCAAAGGTTTAGGGTTCGCTAATACCCTAAACTTTAGACCCCAAACCCGCACCTCCCTAAACCCCAAACCCCTAAACCCTAAACCCTAAACCCCAAAACCCCAAACCCTAAACCCTAAACCCTATAAACCCTCAAACCCTACACCCTAAACCCAAGCCCTAAACCCTAAACCCCTAAACCCTAAACCCCAAACCCAAGCCCCTAAACCCCTAAACCCTAAACCCTCAACCCTCAACCCAGATCATAGCCGGTGGCAGGCCCTGCTTCTCAGAGCGGCGGCTCGCATCGCCTCCCTACCGCATAGATACACTGGAGGCAGGAACGGTTTAGGGAGGGTTTAGTGTTTAGGGTTTAGGGTTTCGGGTTTGGGGTTTAGGGTTCAGGGTTTAGGGGGGACTGCTTCTGTTAGGATTCCTGGTGTTCTAGGGTCGTGAGTTTTGAGTTTAGGGATTCGAGGGATTATCATAGGGTTTTGCGGATAGAGAGTCCCAATTTGGGATCTGAGTTTGTTCCGTCTTTTGGATTTTGCGGATTTGGAACAGTTTGGGTATGAGGACTTGTGGGTTCAGAGTTTAGTGTGTTTGCGGATTTCGGGTTTATTCGTTTATTTGGCTTTAGGGTTCAAGGTTCAGGGTTTAGGGCTTACAGGATTTATAGGGTCTAGGCTTTTGAACATCTGGGTTTTCGACAGTTTCCCAGGCGTCGGCAAGAAGCCACATCTTTTATCGTGGTTCAGGGTTCATCGGCTTGTGCCTTGTGCATGACAGTTTGTGCAGATAGGGTTTAGGGCGTATGGTTGAAAATCAGGGTTTCTTCGGTCCTTTGTTCACCTTGATTTCTGCATTCGCAAGCCTGACACCTACCCTTCAGTCGCGGTGATTCGTGCACAGCATCTTGCCCCCAAGAACAGGAGATATAGCTTTGGTTTCCTCGCATGCTGATCGTCCGTTGGAGAGCCAGCGGCAACCAGATTGCAAACTTGGATGAAGAGCAGAAAGGAGAGTTGGCTGCCTCAGTTGCTTCAGGAGGCACCGCGAGAGACCTGAAAAGGTACCTGCAGAAATTGACAGGTGTCTCTCGATTTCGGCAGGTTCTTTCGGAGGAAGACGCTGCAGGGGATCTCCGTGACAGCCACTCCTTGGAACTCCCCGCAGTTCTTGAGTTGTTGGTCCGACCTTTTTGCGAGCAGAGACGCTACGAAGAGCTCAAATCTGCTGCCGAGTATAACCGGATAGATCTTGAGTTTCTCTTGAGGGAGCCACAAGATCCGGACATGGTGGACGACACGGGCTGGTCCTGGTCCGCACTTCATGGAGCCTGCCACTGGAACTCGGTGGCGAGTGTGGAGCTCTTGATCGAAGCTGGAAGTGATCTTAACATGGCTTCAAGGTTCTCTCCCCTAGGTCTTCCTGATACTGGAGCTACGCCATTGATCATCGCTGTGGACAGGGGTCACCACAGAATTGCCCAACTGTTGCTTGAGGCGTCTGCGAACGCAGATGCAAGAACTGCCAGAGGCCTGACAGCTTTGTCTCTCCTTGCAGGTAAGGGGCCCTCGGAGGCTAAAGTGCGTACCGTGCAGCTGCTGATCCAAGCCAGGGCAAGTGTCCTTGCGCATGAGGGTGTTCAAAGAACACCCTTGCATGCAGCCGTGCAGTCTGGCGACGTCGCCGTAGTAGAAGCGCTGCTTGAGGCCCGCTCAGCCGTAAATGCCTTGAGTCCTGAGGGCTTAAAGCCCTTGCAGATAGCCTTCTCTCGGGGTGATATTGATTGCGACTTGCTGGGCTTGCTTCTGCGACGCGGTGCTGATGTGACGGAGGTTGTCAGGGACGGTGGATTGCATCTGACAGCCACACGCGCGCATGTTGGTGCCATGGAGCTGTTGCTTGAGGTAAGAGCCGATGTGAACAGACGTGACAGTTCTGGAAACACAGCATTGGCCGTGGTCAGGCAACACATGAACGGCTTAGAAGGCAAGGTTTCCGCCATGAAATCTGAAATCGAGCGGTTCAGGGCAGCTCAGGAGGTCTTGTTGAAAGCTTCTAGAAACACCGCGGATGGGGAGAGAGATGGCGAGACCGACCACCCTTGATGCATGGTTGCTTTTCACATTCCTTCTACACTCCCATGCAGTGCTTCTGAAGAGGTTTTCACAAGAACCTACAGATTGAGTGCTACTTTGTTATGCAGATGCCGCGCACAATCTTCGATGTCTCAACCGCTTCTGCTGTACCTGTACTCTACCTGGTTGACTGTTTCAAAGAGATGTCAAGTATAGGGTCTTCACAGTCTTCGGTCACTAACCAGTCTATCTGCACTTCGCCCTGAGCGTTCTATATACTTTGAGTTCAGGGAATCTATACCGTCTATATAACACATGCGGAAGAGATGAAGAAGCTGGGGTTAAGAAGGATCTTCCTGCTTGGTAGTGGCATCCTCACTCCGACTCCGGAAGCATTGGCTTTGGAAGGACGATCCGGCGGCTGCAGATCTGTCGACTGTGCTGGGATTAGGGTACCTGTAGTGTGTATGGGAGGAGCACGTCTGTTGTGAACCATAGACGAGCTGCGCATGAGAGTTTGAAACTAGTATTGCTGGAAGGGGTTCTGAGGAGTTTGGAGATCATTACATTTCGCAATAGTTTCGCTGTGAAAAGTCCCGAGGCATCCCTCGAAGGTCGATCCAAGCTGTCGCCGCCAGAATTCACGAATTAGGTTCTTGCCATGCTGCAGCTAGCATGGCCCAGGGTTTGAATCAGAGCTTGTACAGGTTTTGCTCGTTATCCAGCTGAACTCCCTATATAGGCCCTGAGCCTTATGCCACCCTCCATCAGTCGATACGTGGCTGTAGGGTTGCAGCCTGCCCCCACTCATCAAGGGTCGCATCACCTTGGACATCGCACGCTTTGCGACGCCAACGGAGAGAAGTGAAATGAAGTAAAAGGCATCATTCGCTGCTTTCTGCTTGTCCAGGATAATATACGGGCCTTAATAATTAGAATAGGGTTTAGGGTATATGATATTATATATCATGACAAGGAACCCCCAAAGCCCTATTCTAATTATTATGGCCCCTACATTAGCTCGGGGTTTCTTTCTGGACATCTGTTCCTGCGGCAAGCTTCGTAGGCCCAGCGAGGTTGAGCATAGCTACAGCCTCCCCAACCCGGTTAGGGCGGTTAGGGTTTATAGGGCTTAGAGGCCCTATAAACCCTTAAAGCCCTATAAGCCCTATAAGCCCTCAACCTAACCCCTAAACTTGCCCTAAACCCCTAAACCCCTAAAACCCTAAAGCCCCAAACCCCTATAAGCCCTAAGCCCAGCCATCCAGTGACTCAGCCTCAACTTCGGCTTCAGCACCCGAAGTCCCCGAGGCTTTCGGATTCTAAACCCTAAACCCTAAACCCTAAACCCTAAACCCTAAACCCTAAACCCTAAACCCTAACTGGGTTACAGCAGTCCTCTCGGACCTTTGCTCCCCTAAAAGGTGCTCTCGGATTTTTTTTGGAGACGTAAAGGTTTAGGGTTTAGGGTTTAGGGTACCCATAGTCTCCATTGTACAGTGAGCCCAGAAACTTGGAACATGGATTTAGGATGATTAGTGCTGGAATCCCTTATGCTTTACATTAAGGGCATGAGGATAAGGATGTTCCAACTTTCTAGCTTCTACTGTTGTTCTTCTTTGGTTTTACCAGCTTTATATTTAGGATCCTACAAAGCATAATGCACAATGCAAGCCCTGCGCGACCTCAACAGCTGCAGGGGCATGAGCTCATCGTAATCGCATCCTTCAAGGGATTCTACAACTCCCACCCTAAACCCTAAACCCTAAACCCTAAACCCAAAAAACCCTAAAAACCCTAAAAACCCTAAACCCTAAACCCTAGGAAAACGAGAACCCTGAGGCCGGTTCTGGCCTCTAGCCCAACCTTCCCTTACCTGGAGGATCATGGGACTTAGTAAGTAAGGTTATAAGTCCCCTAATTGGGGTTATAAGTATAGTTACCTTAGTTATAACCCTACTTACTAAGTCCCATGATCCTTTAAGTACCCAGATGGGCATCCGTGCGCTTCGGCGTCTCACGGCAGCTGCAGCGGCTCTCCGGCGTGCGGCACATCGAGGACTTTGGGGCAATCTTTGGTTTCCAGGGGCCCTTCTGATGGTTGGAAGGGGGTTTGGGGGCATAGTGTAGTGCTTTTGTATGCGAGGTGCTTTCCAGAAACTACGCAAACCTACTTGTAGTTTTGCAAGGTCTCAAGGACAGCCTTTAATGATGGTAACCTGACAAACCGTAGGCTTTTTGTGGTTTGTGGCATGTGGAGGTCAGGTTTGGGGGGGGCTAATCATTGAAGGATCTTCATAGCTCGCAGTTGCCCTCTCTCTCTTAGTTCCCCAATTCCCAACCTTCAAACTTTTTGGGTTCTTACTATTTAGTAGCAATCTGAAAGTTAAACCTGTTATTTCCCTGTCTTATTGGGCAAGGAAGCTCTCTCTCTCTCTCTCGATCTCCTTCCTTGCCTTCGTGTTCATTTCTCTCTCTCTCTCTCTCTCTGTCTCTCTGCTCTGCTCCTCCGTCTTTCTCACTCTCTGCACGCGTCTCTCGCAGTTGTATTCTGAACTCCTCTCTCTCTCTCTCTCGCCCTCTTCCACGCTTGCCCTGTCCTTTTTCCACACCCAGGGCTTTAAGGCCTTAGGATCTCGTGCCTCCAAAGGCCACTTGCCCTGAACAGAGCGGGCTTTGAGGTTGTTTTGGATTCTCTGAGAGCCGACTTCAGCTCACGTTTAGGGCTTAGGGTTTAGGGTTTAGGGCTTTTAGGGTTTAGGGTGTTCCTGCATGACCGTTATCAAGCTCGCGCAACCCATTTGATTTGTTTTCAGGGTTCGCCATTCGAGGCCGACGAGGTACGTAGGTTTATCACGACGATCAGTGTTCTGCATGTTCTTCGAGATGTCGACTTTAGGTTTCACTTGTAATCCGTAATGTAGGGGCCTTAATAATTAGAATTGAGTTCTGGGGTACAATAAGTTTAAGGAGCTCCCACATAGTATTTGGTAAGTATCTAGGCCCCTATATTAGGATTAGTTTTTTTCGTGCAGTCTCAGGGTGTATGCTACTGTAACTTCTCGGTGCCCAGACTTGGAACCAATTCGTTTGCAGGTCACCGGCGAGGCGATGGGTCCTTCTGCGTCTCTTTGGCGGTTTGGATTGCTAGCGAGTCGTCAAAGATCCTCGATCCTCCAACGTGGGTGTTCGATGTACCTGGTTTTCGTACCTAGTTCTCGATGTGAGGCGCGGATCGCCTCAACCCAAAACTCAACGCTAGGCCGCATGCTCCCCACGCCCGGGCCTATGAATTCCTTTCAGTATGCCTGAAGTATTGAGAATCCCCTCCAGACTTTATCAGGAACCCTAGACCCTGTTGATGACAGAGTTCCATCGAAGTTACGTGAATCTCGAACGTGAAGCCGTCACGTCAGCCAGCATGGGTGGCTGGGGTTTAGGGTCTAGGGGTTTCGAGTTTATGGCATGGAGAGTTTGCAGTTTGCCATGGTTCCATGTACTGAAGGTTAAAACCTTGCAAACCCTAAACCTGAAACCCCTAACCCCCGTAAACCCTAAACCTCAAGCAGCCCAGGAGTGTCCAATGTAAGCCTTTCAAGGGGCATGAGCCCTCAACACCCTATAAACCCCAGAACCCCCCAAATTTTCATTGAGCCTGGACCCTCCATCTAGCTTCAATTATGTAGAAGCTGAACCTACTTCGTTCCCCAATGCCCAACCTTTAAACTGTTTGGGTTCTTATAATTCAGTAGTAATCTGACAGTTTAATCTTTTTTTCCCCCTGGCATTTGGGGAAGTAAGCCTGAGTATCTACTATTTGGGGCCATAGATCCCTTGTTTGAGGGTACAAAACAAGTCCTGGCAAGCTTAGAACGAAAAATCCAAAAACCAGGTCAACCCCTCACAAGAAAAGAGCCGCCCAGGGTCTAGGGTTTAGTGCTTTGCCTGATTTCCCTGATGACATTTCGTTAAACACTCAAAAACGCGCTCACACAAAGTCAGAGGATAAAAACTGTGAAAATACGTATTACATACGTTGACAGTAAGTTAAAGTCTGTAGTACATACATCCTATCCAAACCCCTTAACGTACTAACAACTAACTTAACCTCAACAACAAGAGTTCTTGTAAAACCCATCGTGACACCCTTACTGGAAACCTTGATAAACAATGCTGTACGGTCTGCGGACCACCCTGATGCCCATGAGCCCGAAAGCCCCAAGCCCAAGCCCCAAGCCCTATAAACCCTAAACCCTCTAAAGCCTTGAACCATCTAGACTCTATTCCTTAATAAAAGTTAAACCCTCTAAAGCCCTGAACCCTCTAGACTCTATACCTTAAACCGTCTATAAACCGTAAACCCTCTAAAGCCCTGAACCCTCTAGACTCTATACCAATTATAAACCTTCTATAAACCGTAAGCCCTCTAAAGCCCTGAACCCTCCAGACTCTATAAATTGAAACTTCTATAAACCGTAAACCCTCTAAAGCTCTGAACCCTCTAGACTCTATACCAAGTATAAACCATCTATAAGCCCTGAACCCTCTAAAGCCCTGAACCCTCTACTGTAGACTCTATACCTTAAACCCTCTATAAACCCTAAACCCTAAACCCTATAAACGCTATAAGCCCTATAAGCCCTATAAACCCTAAACCCTACACCCTATAAACCCTATAAGCCCTATAAACCCTATAAACCCTAAACCCTAAACCCTAAACCC